TTAAGAGATCTACATAAATGGAAGAACATACCATGCTCATGGATAGGAAGAGTGAACATTGTGAAAATGTCAATTCTACCCAAAGCAATCTATACATTCAATGCAATCCCAATCCAAATCTCATCAACATTCTTTAAGGATATGGAAAAACCAATCACTAATTTTACATCAGCATAGTGGCTAAAGCACTTGACTGCTAACCAGAAGGCTGGCGGTTCAAACCCACCAGCCACTTCTCGGAAGGAAGGTTGGGCAATCCTACTTCCGTAGTGATACTGCCTCGGAAACCCAAGGAGGGGTCACTATGAGTTGGGGCTGAATCGACGGCACATAACAACAACAACAACAACAACAACAACAATTTTACATAGAAAGGAAAGAGACCTCGGAGAAGCAAAGCATTATTCAAGAAGATGAACAAAATAGGAGGTCCCAAACTGTTGGATCTTAAAACCTACTATAAACCCATAGCAGTAAAATCTCCCTGCTATTTGTACAATGACAAACACGCAGACTTGATGGAATAGAATTGAGAACCTAGCCATCGACCTATGGTCCGCTGACCTTTGACAAAGGTCTGAAACCCATTCAAAGGGAAAGAGATAGTCTGTTTAACAAATGGTGCTGGCAGAAAAATGAAACAAGACCTGTACCTCACACCATACACAAAAACTAACTCCAGATGGATCAAAGACTTAAATGTGAAAGCTAAAACTATAAAGTTCCTCAAGGAAAATCTAGGGGCAAATTTAGGGGCCCTAATATATGGCATAAATAGACTATCAAGTATAACCCAAAATGCACAAACAGCAGAAGAGAAACTAGATGAACAGGACCTTCTAAAAATTAAATTTTTATGTGCTTCCAAAGACTTCTCCAAAAGAGTTAAAAGAGAACCTACAGACTGGGAAAAAATATTTGGCAATGACATATTTGACAAGGGACTTATCTCTAGAATTTATAGAAAACTCCAATACCTCAGTAACAAAAAGACAAATAATCCAATTAAAAAATGGGCAGAACACATGAATAGACACTTCTCCAAGGAAGATATTCAGGTGGCTAACAAACATATGAAGAAATGCTCACGATCATTAGCCATTAGAGATATGCAAATCAAAACAACGAGATACCATCTTGCTCCAGCACTAGTAGCAAAGTTCAACAAGACAGAAAAAAACAAATGCCGGTGAAGATGTGGAGAGATTGGGACTCTCATACACTGCTGGTGGGACTGTAAAATAGTGCAACCACTGTGGAAAGCAGTATGGTGATTTCTTCAAAAGTTGGAATTAGAAATACCATTTGACCCAGCTATTCCTTACTAGGTATATATCCTAAAGAAGTGAGAGCCATGACAAGAACAGACATATGGACACCCACGTTCATTGCAGCACTATTTACAATAGCCAAAAGATGGAAACAACCTAGGTGTCCATCAGCTGAGGAATGGATACCCAAACTATGGTACATACACACAATGGAATACTATGCAACCCTCAAGCATAACCTAGAATCTGCAAAACACCACATAACGTGGGTGAACTTGGAGGACATTATGCTGAGTGAAATAAGTCAATCACAGAAGGACAAATACTGTATTAGTCCATTATTGTAAAATCCATGGAAAAGTTTATCTATGGAAGGAAATTTTCTTTGTTGGTTACCAGGGGTGGGAGGGGAGGGTAGAGAACTGTTAGGTAGAGGCAAGTATTGATTTGGGTTAATGGCTATGTACCAAATGCAGTGGCATTGAGAAGAAGAAGACATAAAGAGGTGCATGGGAGGTACAGGCAACAAAAATAAACCCTTTTGTACGTACGGTCCGTGCTGTAGTGAAGGCAAACACTGACACATGGATGGATAGCTCGGTGGACAGGCTGAACGATTAATTATGTCTATTCAGGGGAGAGTGTGCCCAATACCATGTATAGGGTTGGCAGACAATGTTTCTACAAGTGTATTTTTATGTTCTGTAAGAATTCCCAGATAAATACTAGAGCTGACAAGGGGCAAGGTCGTAGATACTTCTTGGTCACAGCCAGCTACCCAGATGTAGCAAGCTGTTGGACTTGTGGGCTTAGGACTATAGTTGCAGGGGATATCAAGTTCAATTGGCATAACATACTACACAAAACACTGTTCTACATCCTAATTTGGTAAGTAGCAACTGAGATCTTAACAGCTTGCAAGGAGCTATCTAGATAACTATGAGTATCTAGGTAACTATGGAGAAGTGGTAGGATAGCCGTGGTACTGTGGAATATTGTAGTTGATGTCATGAGACAAAGGGTATGTGAGCTGCTATATGGAAAGTGAATTTGCTCCATACACTTTCACACAAATCATAATTTTTTTAAAAAAAAAAACATCACCAGTGAGTAATGAGCTCCTTTCAAAATATTACTTATGGGTATCTCCTTGTCCAGAGCAAAGAAGAATGAAGAAAACCAAAGACACATGGAAACAATTAGTCCAAGGGACTGGTACACCATGCAATTCTCAGTCTATGGAACTACGAGACCTGAAAAATTAGATGGTACCCAGCTACCACTGTCAATCACTCGGAGGGGGATCTATGTAGCAGATCCAGGATACAGTGGGAGAACAATGTGGAACAAAACTCAAAATTATTGGAGGAAAAAAAAAAGGGGGGTGGACCAGGTTTGCTGGTCTGATAGAGTCTGAGGAACCAATGACACTATGGCCTCTTGCTGCCCTTCAGGTCTAGAACTGAACCCACTCCTGTGCCAAACAAAAGATAGGCATATCAGCTGAATATTTACATTAGGTAAATACACTCCTTGAAAAGATCAATAGAAGAGCTGTCTATGCACAACAGCTCGGGGGACAGGAGTGCATGGGAGGGAAGGACACAGGAAGAAGTAACTATAGAGAGGAAGTGGGGGGAAAGCTGTGGTACTGTGGAAAATTGCAGTCGATGGCATGAGGGAAAGGGTGTGAGCTGCTCTGTATGGAAAGTGAATTTGCTCTGTACACTTTCACCCAAATCACAATTAAAAAAAAAAAGAACATCACCAGTGAGTAATGAGCTCCTTTCAAAATATCATCTATAGGAAACCTAATGGTCAAAAATTACTCTAAATCAAAGAGAAGAAGGTAAAGAGGTAGGGAAACTAGAGTAGTGGAAATGGTACAACCAGGTGATATGAATGAGAATGATGATGACATACAGCAGAAAATATAACCCGTATCACTGAATAATCTGTGTAGAAATTGATCAACAGGAACCTATTTTACTGTGTATACTTTTACCTTATACACTATAAAACATTATTTTAAAAAATGCTTGCCAAAAGAGTCTGGTAATGCTTTTTATCAGGTTGAGAAACATCGCTTGATTCAGTTTGCTATGTGTTTTGTTTGTCCGCTTGTTTTTAATCAAGAATGCTTTTTCTACATCTATTCAATCAATTTTTTCTTTCCCACTGAATTCTTAAAACCCAACCTGATCAAAAAAGATTGTCTTCTTTTTTAACACACAGCTATCTGATTTGCTAATGTTTTCTTTGGGATTTCCCATCTGCATTCATTAATAAGCATGATCTGTCATTTTTCTTTCTTGTATAATATTTGTCTGGTTTTGGTAACGATGTTATAATGATCTCACAAAATGAATTAGTACTCTTTCTATGTCTGTTTTTAGGAACTTTTATAAATGTGGTACCTTTGCACATAAAACCATCTTGGAGTGATGTTGACTTTTTAAGGCTATTTATTTTAAATTACTATTTTACATTCTTTAATAGTTATAATAAAGACTATCCCAGCTTTCTATTTCTTGTTGGATCAGTTTTGTTAAATTATATTATTCCGGGACTTGTCCATTTCAATCAGTTTACAAATTGGTTGCCAAGAAATCACTCATACTTTTATCTTTGTAATCTATATACAATCTATAATTTTGTCTTTTTTAAGTTAAAAATGTTTGCTTAAGTCTTTCCTTTTTTCCCCCCAGCTACCTGTGCCAGAGTCTTGTGTATTTTATTAATTGTATCAAGGAACCAACTTCTGGCTTTGCTGATGTTTCCTATTTTAACTGTTCTTTATTGCTTGCTACGTTGATAGCCGACAGATATGATTTGGCACATGGCGCCACCCTCTGGGCAACCAGCTACCTCTCCCTCACTCAACGGTCTTGGAAATCCTGTCAACTTCCTGCAAGCTCAGCAATGCATCAAAAAAGTAGGTTTTATCTAGGTATACAATATCTAGTTGTTTGCAGTGAGGTCTCCTAGATTATCTAATATACCATGTTCTGAAGTATTTTAAAAATTCTCTTCAGCTGTGATTCTGTTCTACTTACAAACATGGACAGCAAGAACAAACAAATCTGTCTTGGAGGAGGTAGAGCCAAAATGCTCTTTAAAAGTGAGAATGACCAGACTTCTTGTTTTATACTTTGGTGATGTTATCAAGAGGGGTCTGTCCCTAGAGGAACATATCCTTCTTGGTAAAGTAGAGGTCCAGTAGAAAAGCGGAAGACGCTCAACAAAATGGATTGACATAGTGGCTGCACCAATGGGCTCAAGCATCACAACAACTGTGAGGATGGCACAGATCCAGACATTGTTTTACTCTCGTACACGGGGTCTTAGTGTTATTTACAGCACAATTACAGAGAAGAATATAATAAGCATACATTTGATAATTTTATGAAAGATATATAATAAATTATACAATCAGGCTGCTTGGCAATAGTAGGTAAGGTAGACAATGAGAAATTTTTGTAATTTCTCAATGTGCTAAGCACATTATAGAGACTCAGAAAATACCTGTTTGCTAAATTCAGAAGTCACAGGATGACTTATCTCTAATATAAAAAGTTATTTATTCAGGATATCCAAATGGAAGTTTATATTGCATTATTTTCTGGTGCTGAAATCAGAATTACAGTGGGAAAGAAGAGTAAAGAGAGCAAAATAAATATGGTACACTATCCTGAAAAAATTTGGGAAAATGATGATAAACATACTCACCAGAATTGTCATCTGTCTGACATACATTTTCCAGAACTTCCTGATCACCTTCTGCAGCTATATATGCCCAAGTATCTGTTTCATCTCTTGTACTTCTCCTTTCTTTAAATAACTTGTTTTCCTTGGTTTTGTGATCTTCTGTGATTTTACAATCCAATGACATTTCTTCTCTTATAAGCTCACTTTTTTCTTCCGGAGTTAATTTAAATATATCAAATGCACTTCTGATTTCCTTAAATGCTAGTGCAAAAAAGAAACTTGATGGTAAACACAAGTCACAAATTTCTGATATAATTATTTACTCTGGGTTAGGGTGGGGGAAAAGAAAAAAACAAGTATTTTCTTCTTGATTTTTACTAACATTAGCCTTTACTATAAAACATGATCGGGAGCTCTGGTAGAGTACTGCCTAAGGCATCTGACTGCTAACCAGAAGGCTGGCGGTTCAAACCCACCAGCCACTCCTCAGAAGGAAGGTTGGGCAATTACTTCCGTAGTGATACTGCTTTGGAAACCCAAGAAGAGGTCACTATGAGTCAGATTCGACTCGACAGCAGTGAGTGTTTTTATAAAACATGATCAGGTTTATTAACAAATTCACAAAGTAGCTTCAGTCAATCTATTTAAAATTTAGACTTAATATTGTTTGCTTAGTATTTATAGTATTTAGAAACGCTGTCCAAAGTCAATGGCTGCTAATCACGTGTTCTGAACTACTCTCATTTGTGACAAATATAGACTGACGATGGTTGAGATTCAAAATAATCCTAGTCATACCCATAATTTTCCTACTTCTAGAGACATTAAACTGCTAGCCTTGTACAAAAAATGGTTTCCAGCACTGAGTGGGCAGAAATAGAATGACGCCAGAACATTGACCATCCATTGGGTAAAACTCTTATCTACGGTCCATGAAAGCCACCCAGCTTTTAACTAAAGATGAAAGTGGAAAGAACACTGGCAAAGTACCAGATTTGACATAAAAGAGTAGAACAGTACACTACTATAAAACTCCAGGTACACAGATGATAGGATTTATTAACAGTGGATAGTGAAAATAAGACTGCTAGTGAATGGGTATGAATAGTAGTTTCCTTTAAAACTATACATTTATAGTAACTGCAATTAACATATAAGCTACCAGAAGGAAAAATAAATTAATTAACCAGTTCCAATTATAAAATAGGAGCTCTGGTAGCATAGTGCCTAAGGCACTTGACTGCTAACCAGAAGGCTGGTGGTTCAAACCCACCAGCCACTCCTCGGAAGGAAGGTTGGGCTTCCGTAGTGATACTGCCTTGGAAACCCAAGGAGGGGTCGCTATGAGTGGGGGCTGACTTAATGGCAAATAACAACAAACAAACAACAACAATTATAAAATATTTTCATATCCAAGAACAGGAGGTACTTAAAATTTTTATATTATTTTGAACAGATCCAGTACTTAAAGTCACTTTGTGCATGCTCCATTAAAAAACAATTGTTCCTAAAAGACAAACAATCCAATTAAAAAATGGGCAGAAGACATGAATAGACACTTCACCAAGGAGGATATTCAAGCGGCCAACAAACATATGAAGAAATG